AGGTATGTAATAGAGATGACATCAAGCGAAAAAGTGGTGAAATGTAATAGCCTGCTCATTAACAACATCCTTTTTGTTTGTTTTTAGAGTAGCAGCTGCCTAGGAGAGGTGCTCCAGCCCTCTCATCATCTTCATGGCCCTCCTCTGGCCCTGTTCCAAGAGGTCCATGTCCTCCTCTCTACAGAGGGCCTCATCCACTCTGTGTTTGTGGTCAGGTAGTCTGTAGCAGACCCCTACTGTAACGTCACCTGCCACTGTGTTTCCTTTAATCTTGACCCATAGGCTCTCCGTTGGGTCTTCATCCATCGCCAGGTGGAGCTCCATGAACTCCAGCTGTTCATTGACATAGAGAGCAACACCCCCTCCTTGTCTCCCCGGCCTGTCCTTCCTGAAGAATCTCTATCCCTCCATTCCAACACTCCAGTCATAACAGCCGTCCCACCATGTCTCTGTGATGCCAATAAGGTCACCCTGGAGGTGTGGGCACGTGGGCAACTCCTCTTGCTTGTTCCCCATGCTACGTGCATTTGTGTGAAGGCCCTTCAGCTGGGTGCCTGGTGGAGCTGCCTTACTGGCTGGCGTGGCTGCATTTCCTTCGTGCTGCTTTTCAGGTGGCCATCCTTTGAGGTGTTTTATCTGTGACTCCATGGTTCCTATTGCCTCAGGAGCCCATAGCTCATCCCCATAAGACTTTGAGTGTGCTGCAGCTTACCCAGCACACCTCAGAGCAGTGGGTTGAGGGCCTTCGCTAGTGACCCATCGTCTCTCAGACCTTGGAGTATCATCCCTTGGTTTGATGAGGGCCTTCGCTAGTGACCCATCGTCCCTCAGACCTTGGAGCATCATCCCTTGGTTTGTCATAAGCAAGCCAGATAATATCCTCCTCCCCCAACAAGCCTAGTTTAAAACTCGGTACGTTTATATCAGGCATCTGGGAGGAGATTGATAAAAACTCTGGAGACTTTTGACAGCAAGAACTGGTTGACCTTGGTAGTAAGATAGACTGTAGACCCCTTTGAGCAGGGCCATCTTCTCTAGCTTTTGACAGCAAGAACTGGTTGACCTTGGTAGTAAGATAGCCTGTAGACCCTTTTGAGCAGGGCCATCTTCTCTAGCTTGTTTATACAGCACACCCCACAGTGGGGTGGTGCTCTCAGACCAGGTTTCTCCAGCAATGCTTCCCTGTCATCCTTTCTGATGTGGCCACAAATCACCCTATGAAAGAGAGCTTAAATAACAAGTTAGGGTGGTTCAACGTATCTGGTACCTACTGGTGATTTGACTGGGTGAATTCGGGCAGGAGAGGAGGGTTGTTTACCCCATTTATCCTTGTGTTTCTTAGGGCTCTGTAGGAAAAATGGAAGAAAATAAATATGGCAGAAAATAGGATGGCAAGATTGAAAGAGGATGGTGTATGGATCTGCACTTGTGGTGTGCCAGCTACTGTAGCAAAATTAATTCATAGAAGGATGAACCTGTAATAAAAGTAGATCAGATTGTTTTCCTCATAATTATGCAACTAGTAATGATCCCTTAATCAGGGCCAGCGGGAAGGTCAAAGTCAGCTCTGGAGTTGCAGTCAGTTTTGGCAGGGACTGTCTCTGATCAGTGTTTGCATACTGTTTCAGTGAAGCATTCTTGGTGCTGTTATGATTTATTAGCTGGACTGTGCCATTACTTGAGAGAGAAATGTATTGAAAATCCATGGACACAACTGTTGGTGACATAAGGAGGAGTCACAGAGCACCTGCTGGAGTGTCTTTTGTAACTCCACTGAGTGGGTTATGTGCAGTCTTACCCACGTGGGCTGTCCATTGATCTGGTTCAAAATTGCTGAGTTACCAAAGCTGTAATTAAGAAGTTTTTATTGAACTGAAGTATATTGGACACAGACAAAACAAGCTTGAAGACAGGCATATTCTAACACAAAACAAACCAAAGCCAACCTCCTGTGTCCCCCCTAAGGGAAAAAAAATGTATTCTTAACTGAAGTGCCTCTATGGATAGAAAAAAAAAATCAGGACTAAAATGCAAGAATATGTCAAAGTCTTGTTAGAGGTTATGAAATAAGAGGTATAAGGGATACTGGTGATTTCCTAAGTGGGCTGTTGATAGTGGTGGACATAATCTGTGCAGAAGAGTGTGAGTGAGCTGGCCCAGAAGGTGAGTACTTACACTGAGGAATGGAGGGATTTTCTCTACATGCACATACTCAGTTCCTCTTCCCTTTGCTGGCGTGATAGATAACCACCTAAGTAAAGCAGACGTGCCGCTTGATTGCGCGTGTCCTGCCCTCCTGCTCCATGGTTGCTGCTGTGTACCAGCTTCACCAGCACCTCTGTTCAGCTGAGATACACGTCTTTAAATGTCTCTGAAAATCAGGTTACAGGGATCTCAGAATGGCTTCCAAAATTGGTGATTTTTGCAATTGGGAGTTTTGCAAATTGGAGTTTTGCAAGAGTTGCTTTATAAAAATCAGTGATGGGTACGTTCATAGTTAATCCCGATTCCATGCGATCTGGAAAGGGTGGGGAGGAGAGAAGGAAGAGCTTCAGCTGTTCAGCCCAGAAAGTAGTGTCTATAAGTGAAATGCATCAGGGAAAGGGAAGAAGGGAGGAGTATTGAGGTGCTGGAGCGTGTCCAGAGAAGGGCAACAAAGCTGGTGAGGGGTCTGGAGAGTAAGTCTTATGAGGAGAGGCTGAGGGAGCTGGGGGTGTTCAGTCTGAAGAAGAGGAGGCTGAGGGGAGGCCTTATTATGCTCTATAACTACCTGAAAGGAGGGTGTAGAGAGGTGGGGGTCGGTCTTGTTTCCCAAGTGACAGGAAATAGGACAAGGGGAAATGGCCTCAAGTTACACCAGGGGAGGTTTAGATTGGATATTAGGAAAAATTTCTTCATAGAAAGGGTTATCCAGCATTGGAATGGGCTGCCCAGGGAAGTGGTTGAGGCACCATCCCTGGAGTTGTTCATAAGACGGGTTGACATGGTCCTCAGGAACGTGGTTTAATGATTTTTTTATTATTTATTTTCTTTGTCAGAGTTAGGTTGGTGGTTGGACTCAATGATCTTTAAGATCCCTTCCAACCTAGAGGATTCTATGATTCTATTTCTGAAAAAAGAAACCAACCCAAACTTTTATTTAAAATCTAAAGGATATAGATTGCATGTAACAAGTACTTTTAAACTCTCACTTTATGCTTATGGGCTGAAAGATTTATAAATGCAACACCAGACAGGTTCTGCAGCAGCAGTGCGGGGTGGATGGAGGGATGGAATTCCCCCCCATGAATGCTAACCTGGAATTCCGTACTTTTATCATGGCAAGTGTATGAAGGTATTGCTTATAAGAGTAAGGGACTGGATTCTGTGATGACGCTTTTTTGTTTGTTTTTCCGTACTTTTATCATGGCAAGTGTATGAAAGTATTGCTTGTAAGAGTAAGGGACTGGATTCTGTGATGATGCTTTTTTTTTGGTTTCCATTACAAATTTGCTTTATTGAGACGCAGTTCAAGCCATGGAACTATTTGGAGTGTAGCTGTTGTACTGGGGGGTGGTGGTGGTGTTTTTTTCCTCAATGGCCTGCTTGGCCTCGTTGTTTGTATAGGCTGAACTTCATGAAAGGAGCCAGATGAAAGAGAATTAGGCAGGTACAGCTGGAGAGCTAGTTAAACTAATAGCTTTTCTGTAATGCTCAGCATCACGATGTTAAGGTGAGTTGTACCTACGGTTACTGAATTTTTTTGCAAAACAGTGAGTGCTCAGAGCTTACACGTTGCCAGCTGAATTCTCCAAGCAATGATTACTTTGTTTCTCGGTATTACTCTGTATTAGTCCCTGTAACAAGCCAGAATGGAGTTCTGACATTTTAGATCTCCTCCAAATGAACCTAAAGATTTCATTATAGTTATACCGTGATGGTGTTTCGAGGGCCATTACTTTCTACTTGAGAAGGCAATGGATATTTTCAGATCTTAATTCCTCTATTTGCTAGGTAACTCCACGCATTTTCTTGCAGATATTATTTACATAAAAGACATAAAAATTAACTGAATATTAAAAAGTCATGGATGTAGCATCTGACCCGTGTTTTACCTAATTCTCAGTTCCATACCGTTGTGATTCTCCTTCAAAACAATATCCTTTAATCTAATCGTGCACTCTTGCCTATATTGGAAAAGACATTGACTTTGATAACTCTGAGTGCACACCAGCTGAGGTGGTTTGGGGATTTTGAATATCTATTTAGGAGGTTAAAATGAAAAGTAAATGTTTCTACATTGGTAGCTAGGGGTTTCTTTCTGTTATGGTGGCAGGAATTAGGTAAACAAAGTTATGTTTGGGCATCCTTTATGCTGCATTTTTTGATTTTTGCATTTGTTCGTATGTTACATATTCAAAATACTTCTGCCACTTTTTTAGGGTTTTGTTTGGGGTTGGTTTTTCTTTTTTTAAATTAAAATTGAAGAGAGGTGTGGGGAACACAGTCCTGCGGTCTTTCCTTGCATAGATAATCCTTGCATGCTTCTGACTCATTGAAATGAGTGAGATTGTCCGTTGGATGGCTACTAATGAATGTAGAGCAATGAAGGAGTGTCTCTTCTGCTCTAATCTTCTGCTTCCTGTAGAAAACATGAGTAGAAAAATTAAAAATCAGGGCTAAAAGGGCCATTCCTGTGTCTCTGTGAGAAGTTTTCTTATACGTTTTGGTATAATCATAAGCCACGTTCTTAGGGGACACTGGTATCAGAATTTGAAAGAGCCTCTTTTCTCTTTTTCACTTACATTTTGAAATTAAAGTCATATCAGATTGTATTGTTTCTATTCAAGTCAATGTAGTTGTTAAGAGATTGTGATAACCTCCCATATAATAATTTACTTTTATTTAAATACATACAGTTACTATCCCTGGCATCAGTGTGTGTCCAGCCCTGTGTCATATCCTTTCTTCTTTGCAGAAATACAGAAGTGATGCCTTTATTTTGTTTCCAACATTGACAGGGTGATACCATTGCTTCCTGCGGCTCCTCCGGCGCGATGAAGCTCTGGGACATTTGGAAGTCGCTCCCCATTTTATCTGTAGATGCAGGCCCACATTCTGCCAACCAGATCATCTTTGATCGCTCTGGTAGGATTCTAAAACAACTTTTTCTACCTAAGATGTGTTTTATTTTGAAATCTCTTTAATTTCTCTCTGGTTCTGAAGCCAGATAGTGTGTGTGAAACAGCATAGATACGTTAATTTTAAAGAAGAGATATCTGATTGTGCCAATGATTGATGCAATTGTTTTGTATGGACTAGACTGGCAAATTGACTTATGGTCAGTCCACTTATATAAAATGAAAACTATGCAATAACAAAAACTGCAATTAATTACAAAAATATGATCTAAACCACTAATCTCTGGGGGTAAAAAACTGAGCGAGATTACTGTGTTCTTAGGGATGTTTATTCTCTCTGTTGCTGTTTGTTCTTTTATTTGCTAATTCTGGAGTTGCATTTCATAACCAATCTTCCTAAGTCCTCTTATAATTGCCTCAGAACTTCATTGTGTTGACAGGATTGCTTACTATGCACAAAGAATTGAAGTAATCAGTTATTTTTCATCATCAACCGTGTATTACCATGTCAGCAATATTGTGAGGGAATGTGCGTTTTCAGTTGAAGAGGGGCCGTTGTAAAACATGGAGGTTATTGTTGTTTTAAACCCAATATTGATCTTCAGTTCCAAAGCACGAACGAGCATTCATGTTGCAGCACAGAATTAGGTCCTAGCTTAGGAAATTATTCTTACTCAAAGGTGGTACAATATATGAGATGATATAATGCAGTAATATATAATGTAATACATATAGGTGTGTTGAAAAATATGTATACGTTTGCATTCTGTGTTATGTGCATAAAATATAATGCTTCAATAGAGCTAATTAAGGAATTGTTAAACATATAATATGATATTTTTTCATAATGACCCACGTAGTATGGAATGCATAATATCAATATATTGAGTCACTAGGCAAAAAACTTTGCCATCAAATTCTATATTATTTGTATAGTGATTTCACGGATCTCTCTGCTGTAGCATTAAATAAGGTATTTTCATTTCCAAGGGGAAAAAAATGCATTGACACTGTCCTATTTTGACAGCTTCCCAGAGACAAATTTAATCACTATTCTATTTATGTGCATAATTTGGAATAAGAGCTCATTTTTTTTGTTCAGGAGGATTTGAAGAAGTTTTGCATTTTTGTTTCTGGAGTGTAATGGTGGGTCATTTGCAAAGGAATAGCATCGCTGAAAAACCCTGTAGCACTATTTCTAGCCAGATGGGAACTTTCCAGTAGAAAGGTTATCAGCTCCAGGTAATCTAAATGGGCACATTTTTCCCATCAGTTGGATAAAGTCCAAAATTTTCCCCGCGGGAGTAACCGTACAACAGAGATATCAAATTGGGATGGATGATCACAGTGAGGTATAATGCAACAGGATGAGGTTGTGCCTAGCTGAAGATGGGTAAATATCTAGCCTGATGAGACTATTGCAATTCCTGTTGTTTGAAGAGAGATGGTGGTGCCTCTGCCACCTAAGAGAGAGAGGCAGGATCATTTAGGAGACTTGGCCTCACTTGGCTACAGCTGGTTTGGTTCCTGCCAACGATGCGGTGTGGGATTCAATGGGAGGTGAATATCCTGGGTTTGTGGATCTTTAAATCGTGCTAACACCATTTTGGCACAACTTTTGGTTTGGTTTTTTTTTTCTGATACCAGAGTTGCCAAGGTAGCTAAGCCAGGGTTAGTCTGAGTAATCCTAAAATGGCCCTTGATATATCACTGAGAGAGGCTAAACGATGCGCTGCTCTGCCACAGCAGAGGGCTTAGATAAAATGATCCAGCAGGTTCCTGCATTGTTTGTCTGAGCAGTAATTCATGGATTTGGGCAGTCATTCGAATGGAGGTAACTAAAAATCATAAATTGTATTTTTAAATTCATATGTGCCTAGTTGAGTATACATTCCGTTTCTTAAACATAAATAATATTGATTTATTATATGGCAGTCTCATTTATTTAGAGGTTTGATCTTGTAGTGAGGTGCCCACTCGGTTTTCTCTTTGATTACCTCAATTTCGATTCGTATATTGACTGCAAAGACAAGCTGGTATTGGGGTGCTAGGTGTCTGTCTTTTCTCCTTCATTCCTTCACATTTTTGTTTAACTTGTACCACTTAAGTGGCACTGGGGAGATAAAGCTTCACCTTGGCAGGGTGAGGGATTTTTCTGAGATGGAAGAAGCTCTCCTTCACTGGGAAGCTGTACAATGGATTTCGTAGTTGGTGGCTGGATGTGGGGAGAGCAGGAAACACACCTGCACATCTCAGATCTCAGGGGTGGACTGTGTCCAGGTATCAAAAGAACCAGAGCACAACAAGATCTTGACTCTTTGTCTCACTTTTTCTGCAATTTCTGAAGCTTGCTTTTTGTATTTGTCTCGCTCTTGCTTACAGTTTAAGTCGTGGTTGATGGGAGAAGAATCCTCTAGTGCAGAATTTACCACAGGAATCTTTTTAGTGGCAGCTGATTTGGTCCATACAGTGCATTTCTGTGCTGACATTAATGTGTGTTTTTCCCTATGACCCCCATTTCTGACTAAAAAGCTTTTTTCATTACAACACTTCATTGCTCTGTGTTCTTTAATCTCCGAGGCAGATTACTTGATAACATAAATTGATTCCTTAGGGTGCTTTTCCCCTTGTGGTTCAATGCCTGAGTCCCTACCTCAATTCCCACTATATATATGCTGTCGCAGTCAATACAGTCTCGACTTGGGAAATTTTTACTTAATTTAAGTTATTGCCAATTAATGCAAACTTCTGATTCTGGGTACTGAGAAAAAAAAGAAAACACGAAGAATTAAACAAAGGAAATGCTTTTCCCTTCCCAGTCTCAGTTTAACGTGGTGACGTGGGAGGCTGGGGTTGTGTGTGTAATGGTTTCTATCTGCTGCTCCTTCATCCTCCTTACTGCTCTTCCTCCACTGCTCCAGGCTGTCCCTGAGTCACTGTAGGTCACCCTGCTCCCAGGCGGGTGTATACCCGTGCGTGGACTGATGGGGCACTCATGTAAATTAATTGGTGGCTTATGTGTGAATTAATTGAGTGTCAATGCATAAACTGATAGGGCACACATGCTGGGTGCTCATGTGTGATCTAATTGGCTACTTGTGCATGTATTAATTGGGCACTCATGCATGAATGTAGTAAGCCTTGCAAATGGGTGCCCAATATGCAAAGAGAGCTTGATATATAGATGGATTGAGACAGATATAGGTATAATTCTGTGGATTTGTCCTGGCACTTCCATTTTTACACAGAACTCTGACAACTCCAGATTTTGGTTAGTAATTGGTTTGGATTTGCTACAGTGCTACAGCTCCACCCAACAGGGCAGCAATGGGATCAATCCATGTTTTTAGAGCACAGCTTTCTAATTCCTTCAGAACATTTGCTCTTTATGTAGAAAATTAAGACTAGTTCTTCCTTATTTTGCTGTCTGCTTTGCTTCTCATTCAGGCTTTTCTCAAGTCTATTCGTAAAGCATAACCTACAGTCCTGTACATCACTCATTCTTCTCCTTTCTCCCATCATGAATGGTTTAATGTCTGTCCCATCAGACCCCCTTTCTTTGCTGTGGGTTCAGCACTGCAAGATCTGTGCGTTTTCACTGCATCCTTACACACCCTTTTCTGGACAAACTAAGGATTCATATGTTCTGTTTCTTTCAAATATAATTGATCCACATTCTTACAAGCTTCGCCTGATGACCACGAATGCAGTGACCCCCATCTCTTAGTTCTCCATTCTTTATTCGGTGATCAGCATTTTTAGTTTGTCTTTACTTCCTTGGCTTCCAATTGCTGTGTCAGTGCTCTGCCAGGCCAGCTCAGGGGACACTTCTGCAGAAACTGGACCATTTAGCAATCAGTCATGAAAAACTCTTCTTCCTTTCTTCCAAAATGGGATAGAGCTACTGGCCAAAGTCAGGCCTTTTACTTTATGCTGGCAAGTTGCAAGCAGTGGTGGGTCTCCATTTCTTCTTTGTCTTGTCCATCTCTGTTTCTCTTTTTCATTACTTCATAAAACTTTTCCTAACGAAGGAACCATGAATCAAGATTCAGACAAGGATTACATGGAGAATGAAGGACACTTTAAAAGCCTGTGACGTGTTTGATCCATGTCTGAATGTGCATCCCTACTTAAAACTGATCTGGGGGAAATAAACTTCCAGGTCAACCATCTTGTTGACGAAACTGATTTTATACAAACAAAAGATTTTCTAAAGTTTTATCTCAGATAGAGGGAATGGTGGTGCGGTGGTTCACCTCACCCCCACTAGTAGAAAGGTTTTGTGCTTTGTCCTTCAAGCTGAAATCCCTGCTTTGGCAGAGCTTTGCAATAAGCAAATGCTGTTGCCTCAACTGTGTGCTCTTCGCCAACACACGGGTATTGACGTTTTGTCCCTAGGTAACCTGCCCAGCCTGGGTGTTTGACCTGGTGAGTCCATTAGTGGACTCCCTGGAGAGATTCTGGTGTGGTCTGAGTTGGTTTACTCAGCCCATGACCTGTTTTCTAGTTCTGATCAGGCTGCTTTGTCTTAAAAGTCAGATCAGCATCGTGTCCGTGTCAACCCTCTTTCTCTGAGGACTGCTTACAACATTTGTCGACCATCTTTAATTATTCCTATGGCCAGCGTGGGAGTAGAAGGATGTGCTGGAAGACTACATTATTCAACAGTAATTCCTTGTCTCATAATTCTCCCTTCTCCCCTCAGCGCTGCTGTATTTCATTTCTCTCACTCTCAACATTTGTTTTCCTGACCATAACATTCCCTAATTTGGAGGCAGTGGGTAGATTGGAATTTACACAAATACAAGCTGATTGACAGATCATTTTGTCTCCCTCTTTCATGGGGGTATGAAACTATCACTCTCCTTATTTGTGACTGTTGCAGTTTTTCCAAAGGGAAAAGGTTGGCAATGAATTTTCCCCCTTTGTTGATCAGGAGAAGAGTTGAGCCACACAGTATTTCTGTTGTGTCATGGCTATTTTTCACTACGAGCAAACTCCACATTATTTAAATATGGCAGAAAGAAAAAGAAAAGGGCTTCTTAAAATATATTACTTTATTTTCAGTACACGCATAATTTAAAATGTATGAAATATTTGTCCTTTGCAAAGGAAGGGGGGGAAGCTTGAAAACCCCTTATTTTACATTTTTGCCCTAGTTGCAGGGTAGTATTTTGTCTCTGGCTGGGTTTTCTTTGTTGAGCTAATGAGGGTGGGGACTGTGTACTACTGCAGGCAATTGCTTTGAGCGCTGAGCACTTTGAAGAGATTAGCCCCATTGATATTCCCTTCATCTTTGTTCGAGAGGAATGCTTCCTTCCCTGGAGTGCCAGAAGATGGACAGCTATTTAATAGAGCCAGCCTTTTTCAAGTAGATACTGTAGTACTAAATATTCCCATCTCACTTGCCTGTGTATAACCAGCATAAAAACAATGTTCTGGAAGCAAGGGTTGTGCCTCATTTAGAGCAATAGATTGACCTGTTTGGGTTTTTCGGAGGACCCTAGGTGGAATGGTTTATTATCTGACTGGTTAAATGTTATTCTTCAAGGAGAAGCAAC